CCCCATTGCTAGCTGCCTGCCTTTCTGCATCCCTTCTGCACCTTCTCTTAACTCTCTGTAAGTAGGAACAATCCTGGAAGCAGAAAGCAATAATCTGCAGGCTGATTCTTAGAAAGGCTCTGCTTTGCACGTAGGCAATGCAATATGCACAGTTCTGTTGTGAGCTAGTAGGTATGATGGAGATGTGGAGGGGCAGCTCACGGGCTTGGGCTGGTTGAGAGCAACCTTGAGATTTGATTCTTTTGGGGGGGGGGGCGGAGGGGGAGCACTGCATATAGCACAGTCCCAGAGCCTGGTAGACTCCAATCCAGGGGCTAGGGGCTGGGTGGAAGGATTCCCTGGGTTGGACCTGGCTGTATCTTTGATGCCCCTGCTGTATTTGGACAGCTCCTGATACCCTTTCACCTGGACCATCACAGTGTCATCTTTCTCACCACAAATACCTTGCCTGCCTGCTCACAAAACCTGGCAGCTATATGAAAGGATTGTGAGAGGAATTTTTGGCTCCATCACTTTGCTTCTGCAATCATTTATTTGGAGTTTTCTGCAAGACTCCTATATCAGAGCAGTACCATGTTGATCGACACTGAGGAAACTCCCCCTCTTCAGCGGAAGAGTCTGGACATTTTTCTTTCATAATGTTTTCAAATGGAATATCTAATTAATGGAAAATGGCAGAAACCAGGAAAAGATCCTGCCATTGTGGGTGCCTCATGCTTCTTCTATCCATTATTTTCTTTGATGCTTGTTATTACCTATCTTGTGCGTTGTTCAGGATCTACCCCTTATAAACCAGTTCAGTATATGTTTAGTTCTTTGGAAAATGTTCTGCCCTTTTAAGGAGATTTTGCAGTTCATATTATTTAGAATTTCAAACATTTTTTGTATATGCTTGAATATCTGTAGCATTCTTGTGTTATTCCTCTCTCCTTCACTGCAAGATAGGAAGTATAATATCAGTTCATATGTCTGAAAGTTCTCCCTTTTGTCAAGCTTGTTCTCATTGGGGTTTTTTTTGTTTGTTTGTTTTTTAAGGTTTCAGCCGAGCAGCTTTGCCATTTGGTTTAGTCAGGAGGGAACTGTCCTGTGAAGGCTACTCCATAGACCTTCGGTGTCCAGGAAGTGATGTCATTATGATAGAAAGTGCTAATTATGGAAGGACAGATGACAAGATTTGCGATGCTGACCCTTTCCAGATGGAGAACACAGAATGCTTCCTTCCAGATGCCTACAAAATTATGACACAAAGGTAAATATATGGTATTTCCAAGACCAAAGCAAGTGAACTGCAGATAAAAGGCTTAATTTGGTACATAATTAGTGAGCATATACATTTTAGAAATGATATAATGTACTTGCTAATTTGCATTTTGTCTCATGGAAATAAAATGCAAGTATCTTTATTATTTTCATATAGTAATACTGGAAAAAAACAGAACCTAGCTGCCAGAAAAAATGTTTAAACTTTTTCTTGGTCTCTGACAGAAGTAAGAAAGCAGAAGGTGATTGCAAGGAGAATGAAACAATTCACTTATTTGAAGTTTCACTATATCCTTGTGTTTAAGATGTCAGACTGAACTCAAAAACATTCAAATGAATTCTACATCTTTAAACAGTTTTTAAATGTCTGTTCTAAGTTCTGTTAATATAATCAATAACTTGAGTTCCTCTTCATCTACAAAAAACACTTGGTACAATTTTTTTTAAAAGATTGTACAGTCAAGTAAGTTCTTATGTTGGGATATGGATAGTATCTTCTTAGAGGATAAAACTGCTTTCAGATGGTCTTACTTAGGAGTTATTCTCTTTACTCCAAGGTTTAATTAGTTCTATATCAAACCAGTAAAAGAATTGTACAAAACAATCACAGAGGCTGTGTCTCCATTTAGGATTTGTAGAAATTCTCCATCATAGGCCAAGCACTAGTAAAGGTCAGCCCGTGCTAGCATCTTTGGCAAAGGTAATATAGATCAGTCACAGGTATGTTTTCCACACACATATAAGCCTGCTAAGATGATAAATAGAGACTGTCTGCAAAATGTCCTTTGTCTGCATTGGAGGGGGCCCTAATTAAAACACACGCACATGCATCTCGGCTTTTAGAGGGAAGGAGCTGAAAAAATTACTACAAAATATGTCACCCTCCCAAAGATGTGTAATATGTACAGTAATTTTATGATTTTATTTTTATTGCATTTTAAGTATATTTTTCTGGAACATAAAAAGCTGCTTTTTGTAATAACAGAAAATAAAACCTAAGAACACATTTTCCAGTTTAGCATTTAATTTAGCATATACCTTGAATTTGTTAAAAAAATGTTCCTTTCAGTAGCAATTCAAGTTTACCAGCACATGCCACTTTTCAGCAGTTAGCTTAAGAGTTTTTGTTTCTTTTTCTGCAATTTTATTTCAATTACTTTCCACTACTTGGATGCAACTAACTTGGACACCGCATCTGTCTGAGAGAGGAAGTTGGGGTAGAAATCTGGTTCTTCAATTTTAAATGATACAGGAAAATCAAGGAATTTAGTACTATGTTCCATTATATTTCAGCCTTTCTTTTTGTTTAGTGCTCATCATATGCCAGTTGTATTTGTGATTAGTAATGGAAAGACTCCATAGCTAATCACATCTATGTAATGGAAAGGTTCCATAACTGCTCTGAATTAGGTTTGAATTGTCTTTTTGTGATTCTTGTTCATTGTTGTTAATTAGATCAATACAGAGTTCCACTGAGACTGAGACAGCAGCAGTGTCATCAGCCTCTAATCTGTCAAGTCCCTTTGAAACCACCTTCAATTGCTTTTGTAAATGTAGTACCTCTCTGTAGACTTCCTTGTTGTGTAAAATGCATGTTGTGTTTTGATCAAAGTTCTCCTCATCCTCAGTGCGAATATCAGGCTTATCATAGTTGGATGTAAATATAAAGACACAAGCTTCCTGAAAGTGCCATGCACCTGAAGCTGAGATCCTCCTTTTTCAGTCAGCACATTTTATGACTTCGGTGGTTGCAGAAGTATTTTTGAATTTCCGTGATCTGCAGAACGCTTAGATGTTTTTCTTTTTGCAGTGAGATTCAAAAATGGTTTTGAACAACCATGTGTCAGAGGTTTAGGAAATTTGAGCCGTGCTTGTCTCTCTTAGTCTTTTTACTTCTATTTTTGTTATCCAAGGAAACAGCAAACACTAAATTTTTTGTCCCTTTGTCTGGCATTTCCAGTATTTGGGAAATGGTTTATTGTAGTTTTCTTTTTCAGATGCAGAATTAATTATTTTAAATAGGGAAGCATTTTCCCTGCATCTTTCATTATTTCCTTTAAAATTGCTCAATTCACACTCTACTGTGAGTGTAAAAGAAAGTTGCAACGTTCTGTTAATTATTTGCTGTTCTTGTTTTCCTTATTAATAATATCATAATAATTTGTTTGCTTATTTATTTGGATCTTGAAAACACACTGTTGGTGGTTCTCAGTGAAATGTATTTTAGAGAATGATTATGTATTCTATGACAGGACCATAATGGCACCAGGAGTGTCTCAAATGCAATGCTATGAGCCCTATCAGCATTCACTTCTGATACCTGAGAGAGAAGATTCTTAGTTTGTTGGTATATTTATGTATGAAGGAAACCATTTTTATCAGTTTTTGAGAAGAACACTATTTTTTCTGTATCATGACTTAACAATTCCTGTCAGGAGAATTATCTGTTTAACAGTGCTTGAGGTTAATCAGCCATATATTTCTTGCCAATGTCTTCAGCTTCAGGTGTGCAAAGTCACATTAATTTGTAGACCAAGGTTTAGTAATTAGCAAACATTAATCATGCATTTGCTGTATTGCTCAGCAGCTTTTGCATTTATTATCATTTCAATACGAATAATAATTTAGTGAAATCAATACTATGAAGACCTGAAATTGAAAAAAAGATGACATATCCAATTTTAATGCAGAAACATGTTATCAGAAGCCCTGATTAGGTTATAGACGATTCTAGGGTTTAGCAGACTAACTGCTTCTCCTCTCCTACAGCAACTGGTCACAGTTGATACTACTAGATAATCATACCAACAACCATCTTTTACTATTTTCTTTCTCTTCAAGGCTTCTTTAATAGTTGTTATTTTTTTCTTTAATATGCCTAGGTCTAGAGCACTGATGTAGTCATTACTTCAATTTTAACATTTTTAAATAGCCATAAAAATTTTACCTGTTGATAATTTTAACCTAAAGATTCTAAGATAAAAGCGTTCACATCTTTGTTACATTCATGTAAAGCTTCATGACATAGGAGTTAAAATTTAGTTTAAAAAGGCAGTTATATAACCCTTTGTCCTCAAACCCACAAGCTTCCATAATTTCTGGTATGAGATGGAAACATGGATGAAATTGTATTTCCCCAAACCCTGGAATTTATTTAGTTATGTGTTAACTGGCAGGTGTAGGGCAATAATACTGTTA